TTGATTCTGATATCAAAAAAACAGTATGATATAATCCAGTTGTACAATTGTGAAATATGTCAACAACCCAATTTAATTATTTGAAAATTTATGAAATGTCAATAAGCGATTTTTTTCAATTTTTTTATTGAACAAAATAGGAATAATTGCTACACAATAAAATCACTTCACAATAAGTGCAAATTAAATACATCGATTTCATACACTCAAACCACATTACTAATGAAGCACTCAGTTATAAACAACAAAAATCGGTTTGTAATTTTTAGCATGTAACTTGCAAAAAAGAAAAGCACAATGGTTAATAGTCATTTTTTAAAATAGGTACAGCTTGTAGTTATAACACACTATAAACTGTTGAATCCAATCAATAAATTAATTACGTTTACAGATGATATCAAAGAGTAGTCGCGTTATGCTGATAACTCACTGAAATTGTAAAGTATAAATCATTCTGAAGCATAAGCCACCGACCAGAAATCTCCAAACTACTATATTCTTTACTCCACTTGCCAGTTTTCCTAAAGTGTTGTTAATTCTTCTGTCTGCTTCCGATTCTCGGAGTAACATGTTCTTTGGTCTAATTATATTCCTTTTATTTTGAGGATTACAAGTTAGGTCTTGCCAAGTAACGCAGTTTAATGATTTCTACAATTGATAGTTTATCCGCCTTTTTCCTACTTCCTTTCAAGTTAAAGGCTGGTTTTTTCTCTGCCACGGTAGGTGGTTGTTGGTGGCGTCTGGCCAACAGATCTGGAGTACGTCAAGCAAACAACTGTTTCTAAATGACCATCTTTTTGACAATGTGTACAGTAGTTTCCCGAAATTCAGCTCCGTACAATGAAACCATTTTGACATTTTAATTGGAAGTTCTGACTTTGGGGTTTACTGAAAGTTGTTTTGAGCTCAAGGTGTTCTTCAATTGTAGGAATGCTACCCTTATTTTGCCAGTTAATGCTGTCATATTCGCATCAGATCCCCTTTCTTTATCAATGATGTTGTCCGGACACGTAAAAGCTTCAACCTCGTCCATGGATTCTCTGTCAAGTTCGATCTGATTGGCGCTCGCTGTGCTGTATTTTTCACTTGCATTTTCTACTGTGTATGAGAGAGAACGCTAGGCCGTCTATCTGCATCCAAGCTTTCCACTGTATTACGTGATCCCTCTGAGGTGTGGAGGTCATCAGAAGAACAAATGGAAAAGGTCAGAGTTAGCAGCCTTGTTTGACAAAAGTCCTCACTTGGAATAAAAGAGCAGTCCTCCCTGCAGGATTTCGCAGTGTAGTGTGTTGTAATAATTTTGTAGAATGGTGACAATTTTCTCAAGTACATCACGAAGTCGAAGAAAATTCCGCAAAGTTCTCCTATCCACTGTCAAATGCTCCCTGATAGTCAAGAAGGTTAGTTCCATTCAACTGAATGTTCAGCAATGATCCACTGTATTGCGATTTGGTCTGTGCATGACCTATCTATAAGAAAACCACTTTATCAATGTTTAATTTAAACATTTACAGAATCATTTATTTTGTTCAACGCCACTTTGTAGAGCCCTCTATGTGGTCCTGATAGTACTGTGATCCCTCTGTAATTTTCAAACTTGCTAAGGTTTCCTTTTCTGGCATTAAGATGAGGTATTCCTCTTTTCAATTTGTCGGTACTTGTTCTTTCTCGGAAATGTTTCGGAAGAGAATGTGAAGCATCTCCACACTTACTTTTGTATTCAATTTCAGCGCTTCGGTCGGTATGTTGCTTGATTCTGCAGCCCGGATGGCAATATATTTTTACATGGAAAACATAAGTACTAGTAGTAAGAAGTTATAACTATGGAAACCAAAAACATAAACATTAGACAAATGTTATCCTGGAATTCACGTTTTAAGAATCTGTCCTTTAACAATAAAATGTGCTCTAAATCTTATCTAATAGGTATTGGAACATAGAATAAGTCATATCACTTAAAAGCGTACACAATTCATGAATTAACAATAACAACAATTATTATCAATGTTAGCTAGTTATTTTACCTTTAAGATTAATTCACAGCAAAGCTTTGTATTACCATATGAATTTTGACAATTTCCAACAGGATGCTTTTCAGTTAATGGTAAAGACTGTGGTTCACCATAAACAGTAGCAGAACTGGATAAGACAAAATTTTTAACATTATGTGCAACCATCACCTAAATAGAAAATAAATTAAAATATTTTATTTCATTAAATTATACAATCACAAATAGAAATAAATTACCACCATTTTGACCCGTTGTATGTACATGGACTGATATATAAAGATGAAGTATTTTTTTTCAAATACTAATGAAGTAAATATATAACTGAATACGAAAAGACCAAATTGAAATCATGAATGCGTACCGTCAAGAACCTTGTGTCATATTAAATTAAGAATAGTTAAACGTGAAAAAAATAAAGCTCTAATGCTTTTAAAGATCTGTTCTTGTGAAGACAGCCATCTCTCAATTGAAATACTCTCCATTAAACTTCATTGAATAAATAGAAGTGACTTCAAAAATACAATGATGTACATTTCTGATTTAATAGATAAAAAGAGTACTCTCTGTTAATTCTCCTTACCATACTCTCAGTCAATAATCATATTATATGTTTTACTTTTGATTTATTTTTTAGAAAATATGATTATTTCCGGTAGAAAAATACTCCTCGTTGAAGAAAACATCATTGTGCTGTCTGTGTCTTCTGCTGTTGTTCTAGTTTTTATGATGTATCATTATCAAACGTATACTCTCTAAGCATTAAATAGTAAACTGATCAATCGTTAAATTTAGCGGGAAAAAATTTATCATTTAAACAATCTCAGTCAATAAATAAATAAGATCATCAGGCAGTTCAGTGTGAAATTTTCTATTAATTAAATGGTCAGAGGATTTTTAAACTACACAGACAGATCAAATAAGTACATAATGTACTGAATAATAATCCTCAGTAGATACTGGGGATCGAGCTGAAGTAATTTACCTTTCGACTACTGAGTTAAAGTTCAATGGTTCGTATTTGTAACTTAAATCAATGTGTGATATCCTACAATTAACTTTAAGTGTTTTAGTGGCTAGCTGCCTTACATTCAAAATGTCTAAACTTCACTTTTTATGGCTTCAAACTAGAAATAGAGGATGCTCATTTTTAAAGAATCACACAAATACGAGAGAGTTGTTCAGTCTTTTATTGTCTTTAGTAGTTATCTAAATGATTATTGTCTACAAAATTGATTCACTATTAACTAGTAAAGATTCTACTCTCATTTTAGAAGCAAATTATAAAGTCTGTTGACCATAAACTGACTAGTGAATGAATACAAACTGTATATATATAAATAGATGATTTTGTAAGATCATACATAAACAGCATTATTTAATCTAGTCATGTTTTGAATCAACTCATCATAATCTGGGTCATTTACATGATATTCTTAACTATTTAGTCGATCAAATCAAAACTGAAACTGTATTTTTTCTTAATCATAGAAGAATCGAAAATCAATAAACTAGTCGTATATCACTAATGAAAGTTCACCCTACGTGCGACATGTTTATTTTTTTAAAATTTAATATTTGTAGTATTGTAAATAACTAGTTTCATCATTATACAAACAGAATGTTTTATGATGATTTGTTTTCATTTGTGTTATGTTTATACAAGAAGCAATCCAAGTGATTTGAGATTTCTTATTTTATTACCTTAACTTACGATTTAGTGATTCAGAAATGTTAAATCAATTAAAAATACCATAAGCCAATTTTGGTAAATTTATTTTTCATCAAACATTAAAGTAGGTTAGTTGTAGAAACTAGGCTATCTACTGAGCAAGTGATTTCTATACTATAAGTAAAAGGAATTTCAAAGGTGAAAATCTATTCAAAATTTTGTATCATATATTTCTAAAATATTCATTTCATGCCATAAATTTCCCAGTTTTATTCGATAAATTATATGATATGAGCATGTAATTATGCATTTTAATAAAATTTCTACAGCCCTTTGCGAGTTCAACTATTGAGAAATACATTTGAAGAACCATCATATATGGTGATTTATTATTTTCAGCGTCATGTTCTATCGATACATGAGAAATGATCAGCATACATCAGCTACATTGTACGATAAATAGTGAAATCATGAAAGTTACTATGATTGTAAACATTTACAGGTGTATTTATAGATAACCAATCAATATTTCAAATATTCACAAATAGAATACATATACATCAGAAATTTCTTTGAATGTCATATATTTCGATTCTGGAAATCTTTTATAAAATAATGATTAAATTATACATACGCTAATACAATGGTATTGAGTTTTTTTTAAAAAAAAGAGAATTGTATTTTCAAGCATAGTTGTGATTAGAAACATAATCTGTTTACAAGCATAACCATGACAACAAAACGAACAATCAATTTGGGCGAAGATGCTAACTTCAAGTAGCCAGCCCATCTAGGACTATATCATTTTTACAAAAACTCACATGAATATATACATTGATATTTGAATTTCATTCAAATAATATAAACGAAACGGTAGATTTGACTAGACATCAACAATATTTTCGAAACAAATAACTGCCAATCCTACAAGTGGTAATGTTTATCGTTTTAAATACTGGTAATTTGAAGCCTAATAAACCTATCTGTACTATTATTACGTCTGAGAGTGGAAAATGTTTTGGAAAATTATTATAAATAACCTAATCTTAATACTAATACCATGATACCAGTTTGAAAATCTTACCAACTATTCACATGAATAATGTTTATAATTAAGAAAACAATACGGAAAATCGTTGACTGTCATTGTTTGATATGTTATTTTAGTTCGCTATTTTTGTGGCTATCCCAAGGACGTGTACCTGTGAACCTCATATTTTCCGGGCGCTTGTAGAATACACTTTCTACGTCTTGTCAAGACTTCCTCCTCTATTTAGTGGGGCCTTGAGATGCTCAGATTAGAGTAGCCTATCATGTCACTGAATCATCATCAACTAAGGTGAACTCGTAATACTTTCAAGCATATCAACTGACGAGTATGACATTACTGAAGTTGATGATGTTGTCAACAGAGACAATGACAGTTTCAAAATTAAGCTAAACAACTTCAAAGAACAAAATATCCTTTAAAAAAAAAATTACAAAATCTTCCATTTATACAAAGTGTACATTTTTGAGCTGTACTTAACTTCAGCATTAATTAATTTATGATTCTAACGTTCAGTGTTGTCATTTGTACAGTGGTTTGGCGTTACTCAAGTACAGAACATAAAAGTGGCGACGGAGTGTACAACCCACAATGTCAATTACCCTTGAACAGATTGAATCTTTACTGGAACGTCAAGGAAAACGATATGAACAGTTCCAGGAACGTATGTTGGAGACGTTAATGAAACAAATGAATTTGAATCACAGAGGTCTTACCGACGATTCATATAATCTGCATAGACTCGATAGTTAATTCCATTCATGAATATCATTTTGATGGCGTAGCTGGTTTGACTTTCGAGTCTTGGTTCAAGAAGTATGAGGATTTGTTCAAGGTCGACCTCAACAAACTTGATGACGCCACCAAAGTCAGAATCCTCTTGAGAAAGCTCGGCACAATCGAACACGAACGTTATAGTAATTTCATCCTCCCAAAGAACCCAAGAGATTTCTCTTTTGATGCTACAATTGAAACGCTGTCGCAAATCTTCTCTGAACAGTCATCTCTATTTAATATTCGTTATCAATGCCTCAAAATAACTAAGTCAAGTGAAGATGACTGGGTAAAACACGCCGGCTTAGTAAATCGTGAATGCGAACGATTTAAACTATCATCAATGACGGAAGACCAGTTTAAGTGCCTTGTGTTTGTGTGCAGCTTACAATCTCCCGAAGATGCTGATATAAGAACCAGAATCTTAAGTAAAATTGAGCAGTGCCCAAACATCTCGCTTCAAGAAATAACCGCAGAGTGTCAGAGATTAGTAAATTTGAAGCATGATACCTCCATGGTCGAAAACAATGGCCGTCCACCATACGTGCATGCTGTTAGTGAAAAGAAAGATTCCGGCTCACAAAAGCATCACAAAAGCACAGACAACCAGCCCTCATCTCCATGCTGGTCATGTGGAGGTTGGCACTACAGGAAGTTTTGTCCATACAAAGAATATGTTTGCACTAAATGTCACAAAATGGGCCACAAACAAACCTAATGTAGGACAAAAACTCGCAGAAATTGCTCCGCGAAAGTCTATTCCAAGAAATACAGTTCTCGTAAGCCAATAAACCGAGTATCGGTGTCTCATAACCAGACAAGAATTCACCACTGAAGAAGGTATGTGACTTTGGATATGAATTCACACCGTATCCGTCTTCAACTTGACACAGCATCTGACATCACCCTTATCAGTCCAAAAACTTGGGAGAAAATTGGAAGACCTACAGTTCACCAAACGAAGCAACTAGCACACAGCGCATCTGGTGGCAAGCTAAATATTGTTGGAGAAATATGGTTCACTGTTTCAAAAAATGAGGCAACAACGAGTGCAACTGTATACTTAACTAAGAACCCAGATCTTGATTTATTGGGGTTGGATCTGATAGATGCATTAAAATTAACAGACCATCCTATCAAAAACATCTGCAGCCGAGTTAGAATCAATAAGCCTTTGGAGTCAAGTCTGGGAAATGCCATTATAAAAAGGCATCATCACGTATTTTCAGAAGCGTTGGGCGAATGTACAGAAGCCGCGAAAAACCCTTCGAAATCCGAGCCCCAACAATGGCGGAAACCTACTGGACCTTGGGAGAGAATTCATGAATATTTCGCTGGCCCAATCCAAGGTAAAATGTTTCTAATTATTGTAGATGCGTATACAAAATGGCCAGAAATATACAGCATGCCGAATTGTATAGCCTCGGAAACTATTCAGAAGCCGTCTACCCTAATTAGTTGTTTCGGAGTGCCAGAAACCTTGGTAACTGATAATGGATCACAATTTGTTGCGGACTCGTTCAAACGATTCTGCAGTTCAAACGGCATAACGCATCTACGGTCCCCACCTTACCATCCCCAATCCAATGGACAAGCAGAACGCTTCGTGGACACATTCAAAAGAGCTTTACTGAAAGTGGGAGACGAGGGGCCAACTAGCCAAGTAATCACTAGACTTTTAACGGCTTATAGAAGCACTCCGAACCATACGGTCCCAGAGGGGAAGTCTCCCGCTGAAGCAATGTTTGGAAGACGTATTCATACTATTTTTAACGCGATGTTGCCCCCTAAAAGAGCGAATAGGTACAGGCCAAATCAAAATATTCGCAGCTTCAACGTTGGCGATAAAGTGTTCCTAAAATCATAGCTGGGGAAAAATCAATGGGAACCAGGAACCGTCGTACAAAGACTAGCAAGAGTTTTGTATCGAATAACAGGAGCTTTCGGAAGCTGTGTTAGACACACGAACCAACTGCGAAAGGACGAAAGAATGGTACGCTCGGGTGATAATCGCGTAAATCTACCGCTGGAGTTGATCACAGAACCGACAACTACACATTTGTCCCGGAATACCGAAGAAAAGGGAAGGTCGGAGACACTAACTCGAAAAACTACAACCAGAATGGAACGCCGCCGCAAACCAGTCGTAAGACTACAAGTGGACTCAAGAAAAAATCTTATTCCGGGGAGGTGTTGGGATAGCCAATCGAGAAGAAAGCCACGCACATTGTGGATTGATGAACTTATCGATTAAATGCTTAAATATTTCAAGGGCAGTTGATCGATGAACTATTTGATTTAAATTTCAAATATTTAAACGACAATATCGATTATATGTATAACTGTATAAATACGCATGTTCGATTGTATGTTTTTGATTCTGTTAATAAGTGTTCTCCAACATCTTCCGTCTTCTTATTTTTGAACGGTGGGAATCTAACGTTCGGTTTTGTCATTTGTACAGTGGTTTGGCGTTACTCAAGTACAGAACATAAAAATGATCAATTGTATTAAATCATTTAAAATGAAATCGGTTAATTGACTTTTAATGTATTTGCATTAGGTTAATTTATAGACTATAATTTCCGTTCGTGTAACATTTGTTCTATTGTTACTGTTGTTAGTTAGAAATCAATGAACTTAATAGACACATAATTGAATTAACTTTATTTAGTCTTTCCAATAAATCATCTTTACAAGATCTGTCTTTTTAAGTAGCCAGTATAGACACTCACATACATTTGAGTATGCTCATATTCAATTTGGTTGAGCCGTACTTCGAATTCAACTCATCCACCAAATACGGATTCGGTTGGATGAGTTTACTTCAGGCGACCGTTCGTGCAGATATACATGAGGATACAAAGCGTTAAAGTAAAGCAAAGCGAAGCAAAGTAGAGAAGGCGGATGAGCCAACTCATTATAGTGAAGCATGGCTAAGCATTTATAGTCAGACAAAAATAAGCCAGACATGAGACAAGCAGAAAGAACCAAGATGTGAGCGAACTACTGACAAGGTCAAAAGATGAGTGAATAGTGACTCAGGTAGAAAAGGTTAGTTAGTTTGTCCGAAAGTTGGGACAAGCCATATGGGCTCGACATATTAGGACACACACTGCATTGGGATTTGAAAGCAAAAAAATTTACTATATTCGATATCAAAGTCATCTTAAAGTCATTAAAAGGTGGAAAATACTGAAGAACTTTTCCTTCGGTTTTAAGATTTCTCATGAATTGTAAAACGAAAATTACAACCAACTTTCAGTGACATGATGAAAAGTATATGGTTCATAATATGTAACCTGGAGGTGGATAAGACACACATCAGAGAAAGCAACCAGCTGCGTCATGAGGCAAGTCCTAACTTGGAATCCTTAAGGCTAAAGAAGAAGAAGATGACCAAAGAAAACATCACATCGAGAATTGGAAGCAGATATGAAAAGAATGAACAACAATTGGGTAGAACTGGAAAAGAAAGTGCAACATAGAATAGGTTTGACAATGCTGGTTGGTGGCCCATGCTCCATTAAGGGTAACCAGTGTAGGTAAGTAATACGTAACCTGAGTCCAACAATCAACATGAACTGATCGTCCCATGAAACCGTTTGAAGTTTTACTATGAAACTGTACTTTACAAGATAAAGAAACTATATTAACAGTAAATTGTATGATAGAAAAGCATTATCATTTAGTGAAAATTGAAAATATCAATTATTTCGAAATTCATATACAAATACTAAAATTAATGAAATTAGAATTTGATTGATACGACAAAAATAAATCTATTTTTACCTAATTATTTATTATATTTAGTTAATACTATTCAGTTCAATTAAATCAGTGAGCATGTTAAACGACTAGAGAATAAATGGTATACAATGATTTATACATTACAGTAGTATTTAAACAAAACACATCAGGCTATGAGTATTATTTTACAAGCAAATCAAAAGAAAATAAACGATTATTAAAAAAATCACATGCTTGAATCTGATCATTTTGATGAGATAAATGATCAGAAAGAATTTCAAATTGTCTAAATTGTAACACATCAATAATAATAATAATAATAATAATAATAATAATTTGACTAACCTGTAATAAATTTAGTATGCCCACTACATTATTGTTGTAATATTGTAAAGGTTTTTGAGTTGATTCTGATACAGATTTTAAAGCAGCAAAATGTATAACATAATCAATTTTATGCTGAAATTGAAAAAAAAAATAAAAGTAAATGGCAAGTGAACAATGAACTTTTTCTAGTCGTAGAAATATATTGATAATGCCAATATTATTAATAATAGTATTTCAGTGAAAACAAGTTAACACACTTATATCATTAGAATCAGAACCATTATTGAGAACTTAACAAGAAGTGCTGTTCATTAATGGTACAGAATTTTATTTTCGTGTTGATTGTACGGTGACGAAGACTATCAAACTAAGGAGCGAGAACCACTCCATTACTTTTTTTTTGTCCTTCAACTGATGTCATTCCATGATAAAAAATAAATATCTACATATTGAAAACAAATTTAAAGCACTATTCAAGAGGTAATATTATTCATGATATAATGTTAACATAAAAAGCGCTTCCATTACAACTTACGTGCATTTATGACCTAACACATTGTTAACCAGACAGGTTGTTGTACACATTCATGAATAAGCTATTTCTTCATTAGCGTAAGATATTCGTGAAAATTATTGAATTTTACAGTTTGCACCAAAAAAACCGATCCTATTAATACAAGTATTGTGAACCAAGAAAACTGTTTCGACCCAATATGGTAATGCTTAGCAGTGAAGACCCATAACCTAACTGGAAATTAAATCAACGACCTTTACATTTTCTTGTAAATCCTTAATTTTTAGACTACGGAGTTAGCATCTAATGGTCTATATTTTTAACTATATTCACTTCGTAAAGTTGTAGTTGTAATATGTCGCTGTGAAACCACCTTTCGGTGTCATTAGTGAGTAAGCGTCTAACATCTGTTATTGTTAAACTTCAATGGTCGCAGATTATCAGTTTATTCATTCACTTAAATGTGAACTGTACACAGATATGTGCAGAAAAAGATCAAATGAAACTCACAGAGTACAATTTGATTTGTTTATCAAATATGTTAGTTTTTTTTATTAAACCCACCAATCATAAATATGAATAGGATAAATAAAACAAAAGATGAATAGGATTAGAATAAACTTGGCTTAAACTTAAACAGAGACAACTTTCGTCGATAATTAATTGATAACTTATCAATTAAATTTACAAGCTATCACATTGTAATTCATATTTTATTTAATTTTCAGTCGTTTTTGGTATATAACAAGTTTACAAAAAAACAAAAGAAAACAATCAAATCAGATTATGCTACATATTTTAAACAAATACATTATGATTACTATTTATCCATATAGGAATTTAGTACGAAATAAACAATAATTTACAATATGTTTGTATGTATGCATAGCAGACATCATGTATATTTATTGACAATATCTTTGTTATTCGGAATTAAACTCTTACTAAACATAAACTTTATTTTATTGTTTTATTCTTGATCGATTAGAAAGAAAATATTTCCAATAGTGAGTGATTAAAGCTTAAATTAATTAAAGTAGAGAATGTTTTTGTAAATATTATTATTAACAAGATTGTATACCATAGAAGAGAATACAGACATAGAAGTTTTGAAAGAAGAAAAAAAACTTGTCAGTATAAGCACAAAATTACTAATAATCATTAATTTATTTATGCATTATTGTACTCACTATAAACAAACCAGATTCCAATGGAGGAGGAAATGAGGAAGAAGCGTTGGAAGTGGATAGGATACACATTACGAAAAGCACCTAACTGCGTCACAAGACAAGCCCTCACTTGGAACCCTCAGGGCAAAAGGAAAAGAGGAAGGCCAAGGAACACATTACGCCGAGAAATAGAGAAAGACATGAGAAGAATGAACAAAAATTGGACAGAATTGGAAGGGGAAGCCCAGGACAGAGTTGGTTGGAGAAAACTGGTGGGCGGCCTATGCTCCATTGGGGGTAACAGGCAAAAGTAAGTAAGTAAGTAAGTATTCACTATAAAAGTACGTATGTTTATAGAAGGAATAATAATAATAATACTAGACAGCTGACTAAAACTAATGTTTATGAAGTGAAGTTCCAATCTAACACATACTGATTGATAAAATAGTATTTCACTTACTATCTTACTACTACTCCTGCTCGATAATAGTCAATCATGTTACTGAAGTAAACTCATTAAAACCAATCCAATTTTACAAGAATAACTTAGATGTTAGATAAAATTTAACGCGAGTGATTTTGAACTCGACTGATGAACAACATAAATAATCATAGCATGAAGAAGCAAATACAGTTATTTTTATGATTTCATTAAATAAATATAACATCATTTTGAAAGCAATAATTTAATGGTCGCTTCTTATGTTTTCAAAATAACTACATACAAAGAGAGAGAGAGAGAAATGAATGGATGAACATACTTTTTCAAATATATCATTGACAGCATTTTTATCCAATAAGTTCACTTCATAAAAGAGTAATTTTTTATTGATTATTTTTTCAATACGTTCTATACATTCTGTAAATTGAAAGAAAATATGCATGATATATATATATATATCATTCATTCAATAAAATGGTCAACAACACTGAAAGAACTAAATATAAATATCAATTGGAACACAATTCACCTTGTCTTATGTTTAGTCACATAAAGACAGAGTAAATTGACACGATAAAATGTTTACAAATTTCACTAGTAATATTAATGTTAGTGAGTACTGAACAAATATACTGAATACAGATTGAATAGAATGATAAAATTGAAGCAATTAAAAGTATTCAATAATAATCGTATTGAAGAGTTAAATTGATAAACAATGAATGCAACTACGCGAGTATCATTTGGTTTTTAATCCTTTTTTATCTAATGTTCTCATCTATTGTTGACAACTATCATATGAATTCTCAAGTTTCTTTTAGCTCACAAAATAATTCAGCTGAACGGTCGGTAAAATGATAACGATCCGTCGTTTGGTCACTGAAAGCTTTTCTTTCAATCGATTATCTTGACCGGAATTAATTTGCCGTTGTACAGATACAGGTATATAGTCTGAGAGGTGAAACCAATGTGTGCATTTTGTACCGGCTTAATGTACAATGTACCAGAACTAGTATCTATTTTCAAAGAATTCTGAAATATGAGGCGAAGCACTTAAGTATGTTAACCACTTTGTTTATTTGAATAGTTCTACAAATAACCTTGATTGATATTCAAAAATTCGGAATATCGTAAAAAGTATGCTATCTATGGACCCGTGGTTTATATGTGCGATTTTTACCTATTAAGTTGTGGAATCGAATCTTGTTTCATTCAGTTTAAGTTGCAAATCAGAATTGGCAAAAAGACTTAATTGGCGCCTAATAAATTAAAACAAAGGTATGGAACTTAATATTAAATCTCTTATTATAACTTCGTCAAACAATTCAACCCAACTTTACAATAACATTCTGATTACTTATTAGAAATGAAGACCTTGACTGAAGTAAGTTAAGCTGGTAACAGTAGTTTTGAGCGTAACACGAATAATTATAAATAAAACAATTGGTTTTGTCTCAATGCTTCTATGAGTAAAATAACAACTCAACATCTTGTAACGCATAAAATAGGGTTGGTGGTGAAAGAGTAGACAATAAATTAAGTACTAGACATTTAACATAGAACTTAAAGTTTAAAACTGTGAACAATTTAACTATAAATAGATGTAAAAACGTAAGAACTTACTAATATTTGAATTACTTAAGTTATCTAGAACAATAACTGAATAACCATTATCAACAAGTTCCACAACTGTATGACTTCCGATGAAACCGGAACCACCGGTTACTAGTACAAGTCCGTTATTGCCTCTCTGCATTCGGACAAATCTAAATATGATAATAAAATTATTTGCAATATATATATATATATATATCAACTGACCAATAGGCATAGAAAATAAACTAACTGTAGACTGTTTTTATAAGCCAATAAAAAATGAACACATGGACTAGATTAAATAGTCTTAGCATAGACTACAATATTAGGACAATATCAAGTTTTAAAAAATGTTGTGATATCAATAAAAAAATAATAATAAAGGATTGTTTACATAAACACCAATGTAAATTTACATAAGTCAAAACGACAATAATAGCGCCACTAATCAAATTAACAAACTCACGTCACGTAACATTATTATAAGAGGAATAACTATTAAGGATAATCGGATGATCATAATAGTAAAATTCTTACTAATGCATTTTCAATAGTGTAGTAAGAAATAAAAGTCTCACAGTAACATAATTCAAACAAAATTGTTTAAATTATACAAAAAATAATTTACACATTTTTGAAACCATGAATCGATCAATGTTAGACCACCATTAGAAACCTGGAAGCACTGGACGGCCGTTTCGTCCTGGTATGGGACTCCCCAGCAGTGCGCACTCAAAATGTGTAACCTAACAATCTTCACAACCCCGTAATGCAAAAAATAATTTGTAAATAGTAAAAAAATTAAAAATTTATATCACTCAATGATGATTAGAGTTTATTGAGGTAGTGAAAAACACATTTAACACAAAATAAATAAGTTAAAGCACACCGTTATAAAACATTACACCATAATCAAAAACAAATTTTACTACGTTATAAGAGTAAACGTTTATCACCGAAATTATGAAGAGATGTGATAATGAACAATTGATTAATTATCATTCTAAATATTACAAGATGTATGCTTTAAAATACAATAAACTATAACCTTAAAAGATTATATCTTAATCCTAACATTTTTGACAACAATAGGCAGAATTGAACAAAAGTTACATCATTAGTAAAGATGAAATGAGAGCAGTAGCACTATAGCTGGTTTATCGTCCATTTGTCTGGATGATATTTTGACACACGTTTTGTTACACAGGAAATGATCGTTATTTTCAAGCTAAATAAAAGACTATAGAGTTGAATATATTTCTTACAAATGAGCTTAACACAATACTCATTTAAAGCGGTGGTTGCAAGTAGTTGATTAACAATTTAAATTTGAGAAAAGAGTGCAAGCGACACCAAGTCACCTAGATTAGTGATCATATTTCAGTTTCATTGATAGGATTCAATCAACACACATATGACATTGAGCATTATTCAGTGATTGATCAATTGTGCATAATTTTCATTTAAGAATTACTTTAATGTATTCATTTAAAAAAGATGAAAATATTACGAAATCTTTTTCATATTTTAACACTTTTAAAAAAAAGCCTAACACTATCTATCATGAAGTGCAACATTGAATCATTTTTGCGTACAGGAATAAATTTACATTCAGTTGATTATTTACTACTTTTTTCATTTAAGTAATATGAAATAATATCTACCAAGGCAAAATTAAAACAAACATAATATACTGTAGCAATTCGTTAGATATAGATCAAATACTTGTGCATCGTATGTTTAGACAGCTTTTCTTAAAAATATATATACGAAGTGTATATACTTTGTCATTAATAAGGATAACGTCTACAAGAGATAAATGATAGTAACAGAGAAAGTTGTGGTGTTGTAGTTTTTTGAACATAATACAACAACAAATAAGGTAATTATGACAATTTCACACAAAATTAAATTCACAAACTATAAACTATAATCTTATTTTATTTCAGTAAAAAAGATTCATTAACAGAAACTAATTTGTAGTGAACTCTAGTTAGATGATAATTTATTTAATCATCCAGTGTGAAGTTGCTAATGAATATTTTGAAGGGAAAAATCTTTTGTAAAATCAGATGTTAAGATTCAGATTGCGTTCTACAACATAACTTATGAATCAAGTCAATTTTAATTAAACACGCTTCGATATACTAATTGGATGTTGTAACTAGCAGTTAGATTTAGAATGCTCCAAAATTCATACATTTCATTATAAATCTCAGCCAGATAGAAATAGGAAAGATGATAAAATAATATAGTTTCCTTGTAAGGTTGAAACACTTCATAGTTTTCATTGTGGGGTTGCGGAGGTTGTTGAGTTACTTTTTGAAATCATGAATCGACCATAAGCAGAAACCTGGAAGGACGGGATGACCGTTTCGTCCTGATATAGGACTCATCAGATCGATCCATGGTTTCAAAAAGTAACTCAACAATCTCCACAACCCCATAATGTGAATTACCTGGCTCACTTGTGACTAGCTCCGTGAGGAATCTACTCCGATTTCTAATTAGAAGTCATGATCTGTGGAGCTTAACCCTGTTCGGGTGTGAAGCGGTGCTCACTGAAGACAGTGTATGAGGTTGCGCAAGATCGTGAATTGATCGAAGTTAGATATTAACATCGTTGGATACCGGCTCAGTGGTCCAGAGGTTGGGCGTTCACGCACAAGACCGAAGGCTCTGGGATCGAATCCTATGGGGCGCAGGATTCGAGGATCCGCAATGCTGGTGAGTCTCATACCGAGACGAAACGGCCGCCTAGTGCCTTCAGGTTTCTAATAGTGGTCTAACAATGACCGAATCATTAATTCAAAAAGTAACATTTCATAGTATCAAATACGATAGTAATTTTACAACATTTGAATTTCATACGATTTTCTACTTTTCTGATTACATTCAAATGTATACGACTTCGCATGAAACCTGATAGCTAATCACACTTTGCGCTCTTTATCAAACTTAAAGATAAAATACTCTTTTATGTACAACAAGAATAATAAACTTTGTGGAATGAAGTAAATGTATTTCATTTCAATGCGTTAAATAATCTACATATGAGTCGAAATTTACTTCCACAATGTTTGTTGTCTTTGATTTACAATACTTTATCAAGCAAACTAATTGCATAAAACTTATTCTCACATCGACTTGGGATTAGAACTTTTATATTAAGCGATAGCTTCATTACTATACTCTTCTGTAATTAGTGTTTTGAATTTTTGAAGGTTGTCGACTGAAACTCAGAAACAGGAATTTGTATTTATTGACTAAGTTGCAAAGATATACAATGATAACTCCTTAAAAGTATTTGACTAGTCATGGATTATTGGTTTAAATAAACAGGGAAAACTCAACTACTAGTATCATTTACGATATCGAAATTTTGCTAAGTATAGCACTAACATTACAGTTGATTTTTTCACTTCATTTCTTGATAGTCGATCAGAAAAAACAATAGAGAATAAAATAGTTGAAATTGATTTTCAAGATTCATAAATACAAGTTGAACAACTTCTGTAAACAATAGAATGATGAACTTGTAGTTTAATCTGTCATAGAAACTACAATAGGACTGTGCAATACTAGAACCAGTACCTGAAGCTAACGATGTTGACCTAAATCAACAAACTTTTATCACCATAATGTCAATTTTATCACAGAACATTAATTCAACCAAGAAACACAGATTGTTCTTACTAGATGTTAACTTTAAGCTCGGTCTGAATATTAATTCAATGAAATAAACTGTTTCTTAGAAAAGCAAAAAGTAATATTCCTACCAAAAGTTATAGGTACTTTCAAAGGCTTTGAAACGAAAAAACTGACGGGATAACCCGTTGACTGTAATTATTTTCTGACATCATACCTTGAAATTATAAATAATATCAGGTTACTAAAAGGCGGGATAATTTTCCATGGTAAAATTTTAAGACATTGTTAGTTTTACCTATGAACAAAATATTGTTTCCTTGAAGTAGTAACTATAAACGGATTACTGTGTAACGTATGGAAAGTTACATAAAAATAAATCGAAAAATAACTTAACTAGGTGTCTATTCGGATTAATACTGTAAATAACTGATTCACGACAATTATATTTTATTGAAATATCACTCAGTTGTTGAATTAGGGAGTATTTTAACTTTGATCGAAATAACACTTTTTGTTTTTATACAATTCCAACTCCTGGGGAAACCCATGTAAAGTTTTTTACCAAATTTTTTGAGGTTTACACCAGCTTACTTCTAATTTACTTAATATCAAAGTGCATCTTAAGAAGTAGAAGTAAAGATATGTAGTAGACTTTTAGAATGTCATGAATATTTTTGGTGAATTATGGCCCCCATTACAAACCAAAGAAATAGAGCACCGAAAAATTTCGTATTACAGATGATCAGTCACGAAAAATATCTGATTCCTTAAGATTCTGTTTTCTTACACTCAGGTCAGTAAATCATCGATTAAAGGCCTCGAGATTTCGAAACTACATTTATTGAAATGACATTTCTCATATTATCACACAGGAGTTACTGCAGTTTCTAATGACCTGTAACAATGTGAGCAAATTAAAGAATATTAGTTTTCACCTTATCTCATATAACGTAATTTTGTAGGCCAGCATTCTTGGGCTACTATATTTGTACACGTCACAATATAGCCTATCGAAACTCGGCATTCGTTGAACTCCATATTTGTCTATAGCCCCTCCAGCAAATTTATTGTGATAATATATGTATGAATAAATCTACGCCTTATTCAAACTGTCTTTTACTTTCCGTCCACTGATATTTGATACTGCTCAGTCGGCGTGTAGACCCTTCATCATGCTTTATACCACATTTCAGATCACATGTATACATCGAATTTCATCAAGTGTGAAAGAATATTTGCTGTATATAACTCTTCATTGCTTCGTTTAAATAAAGCTGACAAAAGATGGCTATATTTTAATTTAATAAAGAATGATTAAGGCTATTGTGTGATTTTCAAGATATAGCCAAACAAGTTTCCCAATCATAGATCAGTTGTAGCAAGAGAACCAGACTTTTATACCATTTAATAACCGTTAACACTGATAATATGTACACGACATGTACATGTTAAAAAAATTTAGACAACAGCCCAATAAAACTACATTTGTCCTTTTCCTCGACAATATTACAGGCTAGATACAGACAGGCATCTGAGCAAGACTGAAAATTCTAACATTTTTAGTTCGTTGAATTAAGAACACAACGTTAAACTCATGACGATAGTTTCTTTTTTGATAACCACATTACTTATTGTAAACGAAACCTGGGATTATCAGACTTTTTACACTCGCAACACGTTTGGAACACATTAGACAGAATTCATTTGGTATGTTATTCAGACTTAAATCAATGGATAAGTGAACAGTACACCTACAAATTCCTCAGAAATCTACAACTTGTGATGAACCTGTCTTTAGAGATACAATCATCTTAATGGTAGAACAAGACTTAGACAATCGAAAACCACGTTAATGCCAAACTAGAAGTAACAACGAAATATTTTAACGAACAGACAAAGTAGATTACTGTTCATAGAATTCGTATGGCACATTTATGTAACAACTTGCACAAATAATCATAAAGACATATTACTATCACTGAAGACTAATACTATTATAAAAAGTCTTCTTTTTATGTATCCTACCAGTCACCAGCCGGATTCACTGCAAAAATTAACCACCAAGTAACTAATATACCCCGACTTGTTATGTTTCAAGAGAGTCAACTTTCTATCTCAATAATAATTAACTAGACCTTTAAATAGGAGAGAATATCGAGCAACAAGTGTTTTAGTATAGACTAAAAAATATTGCGTAACAGATGAGCCTGTGATAGTTGAGGTAATACTTGTAATCATGTGTAACGTGTGCAACACATAAATATGTTTTAATCAGTCAATGAAGCCTCGAAAAACTGGTGATGAACAGTTCAACTAGCAAACTAAATCTATTTTTATGAATCATAAAATGATTAGAATTACTAGTTGTATGGTTGTATATCTACAAGAACATCATGTGACCGATCGTCGCGGCAGCAAATTGATCTAAAAGAAAATTTTATCCCCATTTCTCTCCCGTAGTATTGATATGATGTTTCTTACTAAGTACGGACTATTATTGTTTACAAAAATTATACAATGCAAACGAATTATAACCAATCATAACTTCAGTCTCGAAAACAAACAAACAAATGAAAACATTGTTGATAAATATACGTATTTATTCACAATCATGAATAATATTCACAATGATTTTTTCTTCTTCTTTATTAAGCGTGAATGCAATATATATGCGAAAAAAAAAATCGCAAGATTACAAAAAAAGAACGTGAAGAAATTACACTACACAAATAAGTTGAATGAAAAAATTTATCTTTGAATAACTACACATATTACTTGTAAGTGGTGATAAAACTAAATTTTAATTTTTTATTTTTAGTTACAAGTACAAATTTTTGATACACACACACACACAAATTATTCAGTCACAGAATCAGATTCACCATCATTATCACCGTTGGCATCATTATCACTCCCTGAGGCTGATTCAATTTCATTCTGAAAAGTATTTAGAGGATAGGAAGAGAACATAAGTGAAAAATAAACATCATTAAATCATGTAAAAATAAAAATAAACAATTAAAATACGTTTTCATCAATTCATAACTTTAAAATGAACAAATAAAATAAGAGTGTTTCTTTGGCGTTTAACACCCGAAAGCGATAAACTACAACAACTTTCTTTGTAAGCATATTTAATCTAAGTAGTTTATTTTACAAAGTACTAATTGATGTTAGATTGAATTAAATATAAACCACAAACTGACACTTCTTTTGCATGCTATTTTCATAAAGTGAATAAAGCTTACAATAATTTACATTTGCAACATAGTATAAAGAATTAGTAAACATTTAATTGGCTATTTTATGTAGGTTAGTCTAAAAATTAGCGGATAGCATTTGAAGTATATAGTATATATAGTGGAAATGATATATATATTCAGTTGATACTATATAACAGTTCTGATGTCTTCCTAAAAATAAACCTGTGAACAACCGTTTACCAATACAAAAAACAAGGATATTCATGAAAGTTTTACTTTAAAAAGACTTAATTATTACTGTGTAATCGGTTTTGATTATTGAAAGATAATCGGTCTAATATTGTGTGATCAATTAGTTCATATCGTTGACAAGGTGCTTTATTACTGTTGAGTTTTACATAACTAGTCAATTACAATGCAGATTTCATGAAAAGGCTACAAAAATAGAACTTAAAGACTCGTATCAGAAAGGAATATACTCTCATAAGAATCAACTGGAGGTAAATTGTGCTAAATTTTATTGTCTGCCTTCAAGTCCTAATAGACTGTATAATATTGTACTCATTTGTACCTTGAAGTAAAGACTCATTTTATAGTAGTTATTGAAACTTGATCTTCTTAAATCCAATCAGGTTTATTAATATCAGACATAGTATGGCGACAGTCATAGAGGATTATAATCTTTCTACGACGGGTATGCTATGTTACTTTGATATTGAATGCCCAATAATTTATCACACACTTTGGTAACTGTTTTGATTTGCTACTTGCTAGCTTAATTATACTTAATAAATTATTGTAGTTAATATTACTTTGACCAGATCGAAATGACAGTCTTTATAGGTGTATTTCAAATTAAGCGCCTAATACTATTTTCATCACTGAGATTTTAAGGCTTTTACTTAAAAGGCCCAGGCTAGAGTTGACTGGAGAATGCTGGACAGCGGCCTATGATACTAATACTATTACATAGTTATGAATCAAACTGACCATCAATGTCTAGAAATATTAGATGCTACACTCAATGTAAAGCAGGAGAAAGAAAGAAAGTCTTAACTAAGAAGTAAGTTTTATTAAAAGCCTACTAATATACAATATATGAGTTATAATTTTCATACGACTTTATAATATCGTATTCGAAATAACTGAATGATATGTAAACATTTAAAAATACAATAAAATGGCATTTGCTTAGCACACAATGCAAAAGTGACATTTTTAATACAGTAACAGAAATATTTTCTTTATAGTTATCGTTAATGTTAAAAGTAATAAGATGACTATTTTAAAGTACTTTAGCGCAGTGTAAAAGCAAAACTAAATACTAATCTATTTAGCAAAGGTTATTGATATACGCTACTGGTTATTTATTAAACACCGATAATTTAAAATGTTAGTGTTAAAATACACACAGACACCAATTTAAACAATCAACTAAACACAAGAATACTCTATTTTAATATATTCATTATCATACCACTGCTTTATTCCGGCCAGTTAGCGAGTAATCTAAATAAAGAGTGAGAGGATAATACTATATCTTGTTGCCACTTACTATACAGAATATATTTGCAGACTTTAATAAGTTAAAACTACTCTTTTGTACTGATAATTTGAAGTTCATAAATATGTACCAGTATTTCGGGTTTATCAGCTTTCCCAGAAAATATAACTCAAACTACCTACCCAGTACGATAATATATACTTAGGAAGAGTTAAGTCTAAATAAAGCCTTATATGCAAGTTAGGCTTATTCAAGCCATTCAAACATAAAAAGTATAAATACAGTTAAATTACAAATCAACTTTGGCTAATATTTCTGTCTCCAACGTACGTATACATAAAATAAACTCCAACTACAAATAATCACAAATCTAAAATACTAAATGGTCTTAGAAAACACTTAAAATCACTAATTAGTATTCATAGATTTAAATTTGTGTTGAATATCAACTTAAGTAGTTGAAATGTAATTAGTGAATTAAAAGCGACCAGTTCTTCTTCTCAACCATCACATGTCAGATTCCAATAAAGCTATGAGTCGATAAATATTTCGAATATCAGTCACCTAAAATCTAGTCAAATGAGTCGAAAGTGAAATATGAAGTAAAATGCCCGAAATTATTCAGAATATATAATGCGAAAATACCTTTGATTATTTAATTGATCAGGAAGTTATAGTTGTTTATTCAACGCTAGATAAGGGTATCATGTAATGTATATTGAGTATTCTCGGCTATCTATTTACATAGATATACATATTGAGATCATAAAGTTCTGACTAACTTAAAACACTTCCTTTATAATTAAATATTTTAACTTGAAATGTAAGAGTAACTCTAAGAGTAACTATTTGTGATGATTACCACAGTACCAGCAAAATCTATTCACGTAACCACATACTAAATGGATTTCATGGATAAAAAAACAAATCATATATATTGCTAATTAGAATGAGATCGGTTAATAAATATAACCGACAACTAACATCTGTTGTCAATGTGTCACGGTACCGAGTTTTCATCGGGCTACCATATGACTTGGCATTTATTTGACCTTTAGTCAAAGTATGTTCCTGTGACTGCCTGACATTTGAAATTGATCGGGAACGTGATAAGCTGGAAGACTTTACAGGGGAGTCTAGTGTTGTTGAATCGACTACATCTTCTAGTCTGGGTTGTTTGCTAGGTACAGAGTCCATAGTACCACCATCAGAGCCCCGACGATCGTCACAATCATTTACATTGGTAGTGGAACTCTTTTTATCCTCCTAGAAAATAGAAGAAATCAGCAGAAAAAAAAGACTAACTTATAAATAACTGATTAAATTAAAAATGTTACTGCCAGTCACCGGATTATTATATTTATGGTGAAACAAAATTAAAGTTCAATGATGTATTAAGGTAACAGTGTAGTTTAGGTTAAAAGACTTACAATCATACAATTCCACATAATAAAAACGAATTTTATTGGATATGAAATCAATCTTACCTCGTGATATAGATTACACGATTTTCATTTTTTGTGAAGCTTACATTCTTTTGATAAGAGAACGATTAAAGCTATTCCATTTTAAACATATCAATATATATATATATATATATATAATACCTAAACCTGATGGGAAATGTTCGTGACTATGCAACTTCATGTTATAATGACAACGTAGATTTTTTGTCAGCTCACTCAATTCGCGTTCGTTTCACCCGTGATTAACAATTTAGAATACGTCAACTTAGGATTATTTTATTGAATTGATCTAAATTATACAATATTATTACACTTTTACAGCTTTTTATGAAAATTAAAAGAAACAGTCTAACCGATATGATCTTAAACCTTAGTAATACATATTCACCATTTGAAATTGTAAGACAAAGATTGAAGCAGACCGAAATCATGTCTATTTGATCATTCAACTACATACACGACAAGTCAGTAGCAATATCGTCTTACCATCCCCCGAACGACCTGCCTGGAATGGTAGAACCTATGGGAACATATGCTCCAGCCGATATAGCTCGACTGGGTCATCACGATAAGTAAGCCCGACATCACGTCAAGGTATATGGATGAATACTAAGCCCTTTAATTTTTAAACCGTGCACTCTTGATATTATTCCGATATTTGTATATACACATTATATCCCGGGGAGAACGCCAGAAACAGTTTAGGTAAACCAATCACCTATAAATGTTTATTATCCTTCTATAGATGTAATGTTTTATCCCTTTAAGAACAGATAATGATCTAGATCGAAAAGGATCACTATGAGAATATCTTCTAAGGAGTTGACCTTCTACCAGGAGATTCATTGGGTGACTCAGAATATGCCGGTAACCCTGAGTAACAATGCAAGCATGTTCGGGATGCGATTCTCCCCCTCGAAATTCAAAAGGCTGCTTCGGAATTGGCCGATATCGGCACATGAAGTAGTAATAGGGAGTGAAGCAGTTGACCGTGTTGACTGCTTCACTTATCTCGGGAATCTGATCAGTGCTGATGGCCAAGTGACTGACAAAATCTCAGCACGGATACCAAAGTCTCGATTGACTTTTTCCAACTTGCGTCACTTATGGCGTAGGAGAGATATCCGTTCGCTAACCAAAGGACGAGTGTACTGTGCATCACTTCGCTCCGTCCTACTTTATGTCTGTGAAACATGGCCAGTCAGATTAGAAGATATCCGTAGGTTGCTTGTTTTCGATCACAGGTGTCTTCGAAGCATTGCCCGTGTATCGTGGGACAACCGTTTAAGCAATGCTGTCGTTAGGAAGCGAGTACTAGGTAAGGATGGCAGTTCAGTAGATGAAGTATTGAATCTTCATCAGTTGAGGTGGCTGGGACATGTGTTACGAGTGCCCAACCACCGACTGCCTTGACGAGCTATGTTTTGTGATGTAGGAGTAGGTTGGTAGAAAATTAGAGGTGGCCAAACCAAAACATGGCAGAAATCCATGAAGTTACTGACAACTGGACTGAGCCATGTTGATAGATGCAAACTACCTGGTTGAGGTCCGCGAAACAGTAGTAACCGATGGTTATAGACCTTGAATGACATTGCTCAAAGTTGCTTGCAATGGTGCAGGTGTATCCACTCTTTATGTTCTCTCAAATTCTAATCTTCTGAATTCCCCATCACCTCTATCTTTCCTTTTCTAAATTTATTTCACTGAATTATACTCCTTAAATAACATCTTCGAACCCTAACCTGTGCGATTACCGTTAATACTTTTACTACCTCTACTACTATTGGATATTAATTGACACTTGCATCTCTGTGCTAATGTAGTATCGCAACTTGAACTGATGTACGTACGTATGAAGTTCTCCGTTGTTGCTGACTGACTGAAATTATGAGAACAACTGTAAACGCTTGCCTCACGAGGAAATATATCAATTATAATTTCTACACTCATTGATTAATATTAAAAACTGGAATCTGTTTGTCCTCAGGAGGTATTCTGAAGGTAACCTACCTCAGAATGAATTTTCTCAGTAAGAATAACTGATAAATAATCTTTTACAGGTCGTCCAGGTGGATTCCAGTTGATGTAAAAATGCGGACATTTTCTGGAAAGAAAACGAAGAGCTCGCCAGCTCCATTCATCTTTATTAATCGATCTGAAAGAAATGCGTTAAATATACAATTGATAGAATCAAAATCTCGTATACTTTCAGTTAAGTTTAAAAACGCAATTGAGCATAAAATTATTGGTATTTTCTTAGCTTCATTAATTTACTATGAACTTTTCACTAACACCAGGAATATTTTGTTTTTATACATAGGTCCGGTTAGTATAGCAATTAACTTGAATAACTACTGAGCTTCACAACCAAAACATTCAGCTCAGAGAACCAAACACTACCACAATCATCCACCTGAGCTACGTATTTTCTCCCCCAGCTTAAATAACTACTGTGTGTCGTTGGCTGCGCAAAATAATTTGTTGTGAAGTTTTTGAAGACATATGAAGATTACAAAAGTCCTGACCAGAAATTAAGAAATCAAATCGATTGAAGCTTTATTACGTACTTTTGTTAATGATTTCAAGTATGTCTGGATAACTTAAGACAATGGGACTTACAGTCCAATAAAGGTGTAAAACATTAAATCCCAATCGCATTGGTACTTTTGACCCTTAGTACCATCATGAAACACTTGAACCTAGTTACGAGCACTAGGTAATTTAGAAATATTTAACTGCTTCCATTAAACTTTGAATTGTAGTTAATCAGTTTGTTTGAAGACAAAGTATTCCATAAACAAAAGTAAAGAAGTATACTTTTAGAATCTACCTTACCAGCAATGGTACAGATAACACAAATGTTATTTGAATCTTCTTTGTTTACGGTTTCAGCTTTTACGTTTCCGGTGCCTTACAACCAATAATAAAGATTAATTATTTTTGTTCCCATAACTTGTAAATTTTTTTTATGCCTCTTACAAATTAAACTGACACCAGGTTTAACTTTGCTTTGTCGATACGTATGTGTTTATATAACAATGAGAAATTCAAATGCATAAAATACGAAAGGTTAGCGACACATTAACAATCCTAAGACTCAAGATATATCACACTGAAATTACTTATATTCCTCTTCAACTTTTTCCGCTGGGTCCATTTCCATGATAGCATCTTGAAAATAGGAATGAAGATCTGTGTTGAAAACTCTCCGTTTGTCCCGACAAGCAGCTAAATTATCCGGACAAACATTCCACAGTTTATCCAGCTCTCGATTACCAAAACGATACACTTTCTGACCGGTACGAGTAACCAAAGGATTTATATGCCTTTTTCTGCAAGCAGAAACACGAAATTATTATAAGATAAGCATGTCGCTCAAATAAATAATTTCTCTCCAAAAGTAGAACTTGCCTGACAGATAACCTAGATTTTTCAGGATTCCGTATGAAGGAAGGACATCCATCGTTCTTCCATCTATTCCAATAACTTTCACGTTCCAGTATGTGTTCGACTGTAGAAACAAATGTACCGCCCGAAGGATTGTTTGGACCATTAGAGGATAAGAGTCGTAACACTACTTCGTGTCTTTGATTAACCCAAGCGTGTTGATCCTCACTAAGTACTTGATCAATTCTGAAGAAATAGGAAAAAAAATACTAGTTACGTAAAAATTACACAAAACGGCTATTATAGGCAAATGAATATATGATAATAAGCAATTCATTACAAGTTTACTTCAGACATTGTTTACTACAGAATAGTTAAGAACGTTACGATTTTGAAATCACCCTTCTGATTGTTCTATCGAAATTTATTAAACGGACTAATTGTTTTAAAAATAAATTAGCAAAGGAATTCACCATGGTTTTGATAGGCCAGTTATTTTACATTAGACCAGTGCTATATTGCGTAAAATGCCCATGTAAAAATTGGCGATAGTATATTACCATCTGGCAACCGGGGAGCTTAATGAAATTCAATACATAAGACTTGTTTTTGTTTCCAGTAAATAAAAAAAGACTGGCAGCCGATAAGTGATATATTAAGAAACGAATTTCTGCTAATGACGAAAATAATCTGGAACACAATTGCGAACAAGTAAACGCTTTATAAATGTTTATTATCAGTCAGTCAGTTAGTCAACAACAACGTAGAACTTCATACGTACGTACATCAGTTCAAGTTGCGATACTACATTAGCACAGAGATGCAAGTGTCAATTAATATCCAATAGTAGTAGAGGTAGTAAAAGTATTAACGGTAATCGCACAGATTAGGGTTCGAAGATGTTATTTAAGGAGTATAATTCAGTGAAATAAATTTAGAAAAGGAAAGATAGAGGTGATGGGGAATTCAGAAGATTAGAATTTGAGAGAACATAAAGAGTGGATACACCTGCACCATTGCAAGCAACTTTGAGCAATGTCATTCAAGGTCTATAACCATCGGTTACTACTGTTTCGCGGACCTCAACCAGGTAGTTTGCATCTATCAACATGGCTCAGTCCAGTTGTCAGTAACTTCATGAATGTCTGCCATGTTTTGGTTTGGCCACCTCTAACTTTCTTTTAACCTACTCCTACATCACAAAACATAGCTCGTCAAGGCAGTCGGTGGTTGGGCACTCGTAACACATGTCCCAGCCACCTCAACTGATGAAGATTCAATACTTCATCTATTGATCTGCCACCCTTACCTAGTACCCTCTTCCTAGAGGGCAATACAAGATGGTCTTGGATCACCATTTTACATTTAGTACGTGCGAAGTACGCATTCTAAACGTCCTCAAAATTGTTTAGAAAATGTTCAGAAGAATCTATATATGGTCAGTGTTATGTCTTAACAAAACCATAGAACCTATCTATCACTTATCAATCACGGGTTCTTTAATCAAAAGATCAATACCCCATTTGTGAGCTTTGTTGAGGAGGCTAAACAAGAACGGCTACAGTGGAGATCCTATGGAGACGGTATTTTTTCAATATTGTTCCATATATCAATTTACCATAAACCTGGTATATTCACATATAAGCTTTCATGAATTTCCTGATAATATGATTCACTCTGGGGTTGAGTGAATGCAGAACTCATGGATTTTCAGACTGCCGGAGGATTCTCATATTTTTTTTAAAAACTAGAATAATTAACGACCAGTGCTAGTTAGTAGACTGTTCCTGACTCCTACACTTCAGTAAGTAGAGAAGTTAGTCTTACTAAGTCCTGATCATTTTTTTACAAGACAATAAAACGAGCAGTCAGGTTGATATTTTACCTCCTTTTACGTTGGTTACAGCCTATTTTTCTCAACTTCGGCAAGTTGATAATTTACCTACACTGCATTCAAAAACAAAAGCGTATATGCATAACAGTTTACCCATTCCCTAGTGTACTGGTTTTTTTCTCTATCCGGCATGAGTTTACTAATAACTTGTCTTTCTCGATGGAAGTTTAGCAGACCACCATTTGTGAAGCAATTTTTAACAAATGTAGATAGTTGCCGATGACAACCTAGAGCTAATATCCACCAGCCATGACATACAATTTATTTTGCATTTTGGCTTTTCGTATTAACTAGACTCAATAACATAAGAGCATCTGGACGACTCTTTATTGGGATTGAGTTGATGAGCATTTCTTGAGAACATTTCTTTACATATCAATTGTAAAGTTTTGCAGAGTTTCGGGTATATCTGTTACTTACACAACAAACCGTCACCGTTTAGGTTGGGAATTTCAAGTGATACCAGTGATTTTATAATCAAAGAGGAGTTAGTCACCGAATTTAGAGATCACTTTAAAAGGTCAACTTAAAAGCTTATAGATACATCTCTTTAGATTTGAACTAATTCATTCCAAAAAAAATCTAGTTAGGCTCCTTCCAAGTATAGCTAAGAAGATATACTCAGACAACACCATACACAAGGAACTAAAGTTTATTCATAAAACGTTGACTGAAGTAGGTTATCCCAAGGTTTTTGAAGAAATGTGTATATAGCGAACAGGAGAATCGACTGCTGTGAAGGAACCGTTCTTCCTGAAGTTACAGTTTAACTCAGGCAGACAATAATGTTAGTCAGTCAGTTACAACGTAGAACTTCGTACGTACGTACGTCAGTTCAGGTCGTCAAACCACATTGGCACAGAGATGTAATTGTCAATCCAAATCCCATAGTAGTAGAGGTAGTAAAGGTATTAGCAGTAATCGGAGAGATTAGGGTTCGAGAAAGTAGAATCTAGTGAAATAAACTTAAAAAGAAAAAGATAAAGGTGATGGGAAATTAAAAAGTCTAGGATTTGAGAGAACGCCAAGGATGAGTGCACCCGAGCCATGTCATTCAGGGTCTCTAACCATCGATTATTATCATCTGGCGGACCCCAACCAGGTAGTCGACACCTACCGATATGACTCAGTCCATATTTCAGTGACCTCATGGATTTCTGCCAAGTTTTGGTTTGGCCGACAATAATGTACTGCCAGACAGATCGATTAAAGCAGTGAAGAGGACCTTTAGTGCAGCTACCCTATGTCTGTTTTACAGCCAACCTATGCCGATCCTTCATCTAAAGAATAAGTTACCTAGTTTCGTCATTTAAAAATGTCTATGAATTTAGCCGCTCATGTGGCGAGAACTACATTAAGTGTATAACCAGACAACCAAGCCAACAATTTAATGAACACTTATGTTTGTGGTTCGGAAAGAGTATGACCAAAACAACAGGCAGCCCTCAAATGCCATGGAACGAGTGACAGCGGGGAGCGTTCGCTCTTCCTCTCAAAATGCTCCCATATGGCTACGCTTGTGTAGCCACTGCAAACGAAATCCTACGAACCGCCTTCTCGTGGAGGTTATTGTTTGCGAAATCGAAGGGATGGTAAGCGTATATCTAGCACTTAAACCCGGTTGGTGGGTACGGAGGATCCAACTAGGGGAGTTGGAAAACGCTGATTCAAAAAAAAATGGTGCACATGGGCTTCGGGATCCTGTCAGTTAGCCAGTCAGTCAATAACAACATAGAACTTCGTATGTACGTACATCGTTTCAGGATCCTGAGGGGAAAATGGATGAACCTATTGTTGGTGACCGGCTACCATGGCACTGCATCCCTCAATGTGCCTTGATATATATATATATATATATATATATATATATATATATATATACATATATATTAGTGCTTTGTAACAATAATTATGGGTTTATATAAATAATAAGAGGATGCAATAGTAAACAATATAGTTGATTTATAAGTGTTGTTCTGATTCACAAGATAAGAATATTTAATACAATGTTGAGAGTTAGGTGAGAAACTACGGTATACCATTAAACACCATGCAAGAAAAACAGGACACTATTTTACTCACGTTTTAAACTTAACTGCTGTTGTTAAATACTGAAACAAAATTAGTAGCTGAACAAGTATATACCGCCGGAAACTAGGATCCATTAGTTGCAAATCCAGTAACTAAAATAAAAAAATTACTATGAAAGTTCAGATGTCACTAGAATGAATAAGTCACGAACAAGATAAAAAATTATGAACTTATTTCTCACCGACTTAACAAAAAGCGGAAAAGTTTGTAATAAAAAACTACAAGTGAATGTCAGACAAAATTAGTAATATAAGAACCTGATATGAGTGTGAATCAAAAATTTTCGTTGTACATGAGGGTGTCAAATGACTTTGAAAGTCAGGATCCAGGAGGGACAACGAGAAAATGCATGCGTAACTGTGACTAATAGGTTTTTTTAACTAAAGGCTTATAATACCCCATCAATTTCAAGTAGAAATGAAACGTTGCCATGGATGGATCGGATTCACATATTATTGGTCTGACGTTACCCCTCGATATGAATGCTGTCACAGTTTTACGTTTCTCACAGAAACCCACAATTGGTAACATAAAGTCATGTAAGGGTTGAAAGCACTTGTGACATTACCGAATAACCTATCGGTGAGAAAAGCTAGTGCAGCCATATTGGTTGCAAGAACGAAAAATATAGCTAATTTCACATCTCAATATATTTAATAACAAAACATTTTGTACATGCTCCTGTAAGTTATCACTTAGACATTTGTGTTGAGCTTGGTTGTAACTGAGACCTATATGCCTGATCTGGACTTCACCAAGACAACCGAAGAGTTCTAATACACTAGTGATTCATGATGGAAATGAACTAAACCACTAAATCATAAGTTCATTATTTAAGGATAAAACGATGGACAGAAACAAAAAAATGACGGGATCTCTTAAATCTAATATCTGGAAACTAGGAAAACTAACAGACGTTTACAAGGAATTCTGTTACTCAAACAGTCAAAGCTGAATCAGGAGTTTTGGAGCTTGAATTCATTGTCACGGTGATTCCCTGACAGCTGAACTGCATAATCAAAATATTGCTTACTGTTTCACCTAAAAGTATCTCACTGTTATTGGTGATAGTTATGATATCATTAATAGAAAATTAATCCTGAAGCAAAACATTTTATGACTAGCTTACTAATGTGGTACTTTTATGCATAGAGGACTTACCTTTTCGCTTGTAAGGTACTTAGAAAATGTCCTGCTGCTACTCTGAGATCGAATGTCTCCTTCTTCTACTGCCATCAGTTTAATACTGGAAAACACATCTAACACTGTGTCTGTGCTGCTTGTAAAACGTAGCCACTTAGCTTTTTCGTAACACAGAATCGGAGACTTAAAGAACTCCTGAAGAGACCAGAATTTGACATATAGTCCAGCATCCACTTCTAAGGGAGTGGATGAGTCAGTCATTTCCCCCTCTTCCAAATCATCAGATGTATGATCGTGAGACACCTGATGCTTGAAAACACTTGGATCTGGGTTTTTATTGTACAGTATGTCCTTTTCAGAATTAAAGTTGCTCATAAAATTCAGTCCAGATTTCTCATCTAGTGGAAATAAACGCGTCAGGAAGAGTTGAATTCGGCCGCAAAAGACGGTATTCTGTGACTTCGACAGGCGTCTAAGGAGGTCTACATTGAACAGATATATTTCGAGGAAAAGTGATCAAACGAACCATTGCACATTCGTAGTAATGTATTTCTTCCTGAACCAAATAAGGGTACCTACAACAGTCGTGAGGAGACATCAAACGTACATCCTTCAAAGTAATGATTGTTTCCTCCATGAATCCGAACATCTCTTCACAAAGTGATATCGGCTTGGTGTTGAAAACATCCGAAAATAACAAAAACGGAGTTGGTGCAGAGCACAAATCTATTAAAGTAACTAAGAGTTGGAAGTAGTATTTACTCGCCAAGGCCGCTGCAACACCCATTTTAAGGAGAGTTTTTACATCATCCATAGAGTCTGAGGCAAGTAGGCGCAGCATACGTCCTCGTAAAGCAACATCTATCAAGCTTTTTTTATCCCTGAATTTTTGTTAGTCAAATTGAGACTTTCACTTTAAGTCTATAGCCTCCGCTGTTGCCTTTAGTTTAGCCAGAGAAAATCCTGATGGATCTTCTAGAATATCCTAGCATCAATTAGAGCAATTAAACCGTAAGCCAACTTTAATCACACCAAAAGACAACTCCGCCCCCGACTGACCGGACGACATAACGCCAGGTTTGATAAGCGCGGCTCGGCTTGACCTACAACTTAGCCTGCTAGAATTATTGATCTATTTGTTCTTTAAGATCTGAGTCTGGATAATTTACTTATTAATGGATGTGATCGATGAATAACACTTACAATAATCTGCATTGATGCCTACAGTGCTAAAGTAATCGACCAGACCTCATTTAGATGGTCCAATGTCGAATATCTTTTCACAAGCTAGTATAAACCGATTGATTTCTTTGCGCTCGATTCTCGTTCTTTCGGTACGAGTTCAGGTGTTTGGTGGTGTCCAATAAATGGGGGTCTAACCACTCGACTTTCTGATTCTAGGCAGTTGGTTGTGAGTTTGTATGTCCTGTGATTTGAATGA